AATAAGAGCCGTGAAGATCACATTAAGAAGTAAATATCACATTCCGATCCCCGAACCTAAGAAGGGTCGAGTTACTCCATTGGTTAGCATTTTCTCAGGGCCCGACTGATTCGAATGCGTCAGATTTACTGTATTATGTAATAGTATTCGCTTCATTCTCCCTTTCCACGCACCAGGGTCTTGTCTGCGCATGTCGACCGCCCAGCTCATGTAGTGAGTGCTTCGTCTAGTGCGTAGCATGCGACAATAGTTAAGAAATTACATGGACTTGGTACAACGCCATCCTCCTTTCGATCTGTCGCAACAGCAGTGTATTTTCATTAATGCACTTTGCGCCAATTCCAACCACCTTGTTTCCTCGGCTAACTTAATAGGGCCTTTAAAAAATACTGGCTAAATAGGAGAAACGGAGGGACCTGTTTTGATTAGTTTCGTTCCGCTTCTGAGCCGTTAAAAAATAGAATCCACTAAATAGTAGATGCACCATCCCTTTCTTAAACAATGGTAACTTCTTGAGTTCCTGTACTCCATTTTGAAAAAAATTCTCGGTACGAAAAATATGTCCAAAAGTATTAAGCATTACAAGTTCAAAAGCAATCCAGATATGGTTTCAAAATGACATTCACACTTGTCCTTAGTGATGTCGGCTACTTACTGCCTATCTTCACGTAATTCCGACCAGCTGCTTCGTTAAGTCCACTAAACTTTGACTAAAATTGACTACATCAAACTTTTTAATGCGTTGCCTTTTGCTTGCTTGAAATTCATAGCTACTGATTCATGTTACAGTTGCACCACATCACGAATGGTTGTTTCCTATTGTAATTATTCGACAACGGACTCATAAGGACGGTTAAGCTAGGTTTCAAGATACCCCAGCAGACTCAAGACTACTTTGGGTGTCGCCAGCCAGGATTGACTTTGGAGGAGGATCATCTCAAAGAACATTCGCCTTCAAGTCTGCGTCGGTCGTAGTTGGACTATCTCAGTTGACCGCCGAATATGATAGAGTTGATGGGTTGCGTTCATGACCAACTACTTAATTGCTCGTTGGGGGTGAATTTCTACATCATCATCGGTCGGATACTTCCTGGTGGTCTCTATCATCTGAACGCTCGGGTCATGTTCCGAATCTATTTGAAAAGAACTTCCTACCTGAAAATTCAGACAGTCATGGTGTTGCTTCTACGATTGTTAATGCGGATTTTTGATAAACTTCTGCTCCGACTGCAACTACATCACTTTTTTTATTCACTTGTTCGGATGCAAGTAAATGGGCTTTAGGATGACAATTAATAATTTAATAGTACTCGGCATGACTGTGACCATGCCTGTGCTAGCTGGCCTCGATAATGTCGTGGTTCGTACCTCCCAGTCCGTGACCATCCGCAACAACAGTTCTTAAGAGATCGACCCATTTTCTTCTGTAAGTACTAAGACCAAAGATCCACTGTTATATTTTGACAAACTGCGTTAAGCTAGGCTCTGAGTTTACTTCGTTAGTTCATCTGGACGAGCAATGGATGATACTTCTAAGCCGATAGCGCAAGCCGCGAAGAAAATGCTAAACATACGTCAGCCGTCTTTCGTAGATTGCTCGAAATTTCATTAAAACGCTCCAACGAGTGTGGCTTATTTAATACGAGTCATGATTTTCGGGCAGTTTTGTTGTATTACACGTCCACTTCTCAGCATGCGCAAGCATATGGAACGACTACTTGATAGGTTACCGAAAACCATGCAAGTTTCATCTGTTCGGGCGGCGATGTCATCACCAGCTTCTTGCCTAAGCTATGTTAAACCACCCGTTTCGTCAAACTGGTGGCCGTTAATCTCAAGAAGTGCCTTCTCATAATTAAGGATGCGGCTTGGAACAAGTTTAATCTTTCTATCGTTGTGGAACAAATCGACTGATTTTGCGATTTCGTGCTTTCAAAAAACTACGTTCCGTAGGTATTCATAACTTTGGGCTAACAAGTCGATATCATCCGCATAGTCCAGGTTAGTCAGCCGGCGTCTGGCCTCCTATTCGCCGTAGTCGAAATGGCATAGAACGAAGAGACAAAAGGCAGCCATAGTGAACGCCGGGTCAAATATCATACTGTGATGTGAGCTGATTATGTACTAGAACTCGATCAGCTTCGAAACGATGGCAGGCCTTGATCACCGCGACCATGTTTCCCGGCCTACTATCTAACGCAGTTGTCCGAGTAGTGCGCTCACGATGAACGCAGTTGAACGATGCAACCCGGTCAAAAAATTAGAGAGCCGGCGGCCGCTGATGGCAATAATGGACTTCTGGAATGTGTCGTGTTGATAGGTACATCCGGATTGGTTGGTTCCATCGTCACGCGAACCCTGGATGCGCCTGATACTGGCAAAAATTTATGCAACAGTGTGGATAAACTTTATGCTACAACAGTTCCTGTACTTTGTCTTACTCTCTTCGTTGAGGACGGGCACAAGCATGACCGAGTCCGAGTGATCTGGATCTCATCTATCTATGCTTGTTCGGTTATGTCGTGGAGCCAAGGCGCCGGACTGTGTCGACACAAGCCTATTTCGTAGCTAAAATCTGCTGATGTTCGCGTCATCAACGAAGGGCGTGCTTGTTGTCAACAGCCAGATCACCCCCCAGTTCTCTTTTCACTCAGTGTGGAATTTTAAGTTGGATCCGGTTCCCTGCCTCAGGGTCACGATCTCCGTCCAAACCTGGAGCGATTGGTCATATGGAGGATCCAAGGTCATCCCTGTCTGGGGTTGGAATATTGTCGGTTGGCGTTGACATTCAGGCCAGAAGCGTCCATTCTTGACCGGTAATACTTCCGATTATCGATTTTTTGGTCGCTATAAGACCGCCTGCGTGGGCTCTAAGCATTAAATTCCAAAACAAATGAGAATAAATAGGCCTGATTCTGAACGCCGCCCTCAACTTTGATCACAGTGACCGCGCCGTTGGTATCTCCGTTTGAGATGCCGATCGACCCTTGAGCCTAATAGCTGTCAGTTAAGACTTCTAATTAAGGGCTGACCAACACCTTGCATGCGATTTTTAACCTGTACTCAGCGGAGACTCGGCGATACCATAGGATTGTGATAATTCTGTACATTTTTATCGAAATGATGGGATTTAACTTGTTCTTAGTGCGAAACTGATCATTGTGCTGTGAACAGATCATTCTCCCTCCTGCGACTGACAGTTACTACTATGCATTACAAGCATCTATTGGATACTGCGACTGGGAGATTTTTCTACGTTTTTTATTGTACTTGCGATATGTCTGTCGAGGTTGTATAGGAACTGTATATATTCAATTCTATCGACAGTGTCACTTCAATATCTTCCTCTGTGAATGGTGGGATAGGTGCATTATCGCATAAAGCTCCGGTATCGCTTATCAGTCTTCATATATTCTTGGGTCGATGTGATGGCTCAACTCTCAGTCTGCGTTTAGTTGGTGCCGTGCCCCCTAAACGGGCCACGTGGTATGTGCGACGGTTAAACATGGGACTATATCAGGGCACAAGAGGCTTTATTGGGGATACGCATCCATAACGCATGCCACATGGGGGAGGGGGTTGTGGTGGCACTCGTAGGTGTAGGTTCCCGCCCCGCCAGCCGCCTGCGCTATCTCTCGTCTCCAACCTTTTTGACTTCGTCATCGCACTGGGCCCAGATGGATAAGGGAATAGATGCTGCGCAAGTCTACTTTCCTTACGCCCATCTTGCTTTACGGTAGACATTGGATCTTTTCGGGAACAGCGGCCTAACTGTAGTTTGGCATATCAGCGAATTCTCCCACCAGAATAAAAACGGGCCATAAAATTGCGATCTTTAGTCGGATACATGAGATTCACCATCTGAGCATGTTGATTACATTCGCAACAAATCCACCAAGTACAAAATATTTCTCGGTCAGGTCCAAGTAAAACCCCTAAACCGATATCACGCCCTGTTGACCAGCGCTATGGATTGTGAGAAAGTGACAAAATTGGTAAAGACCCCCTACGTTCCTTTAGGGGGAATCACATCCTTGGGTGGTGAAAGTCATTATTCTCGTTCACGTTATCGTGAAAAATTTGACTCTCGTGCTTTGCCTCCTCAAACTGTCTACAGCGCTTAACTTTATGCCTTTTTTTTGATTTTCTTCAGCCTTCTAGTTTCTGCCGTAACAATGTCAACCGCTGACCCCCAGCCGGCAGACAAACCGATAAACCACAAGATTGGTATTATCTATCCACCACCCGAAGTTCGGAACATTGTTGATAAGACCGCTAGTTTCGTGGCGCGTAACGGTCCCGACTTTGAGTCGCGTATCAGACAGAATGAAATCAACAACCCGAAATTCAACTTCCTCACCCCCTCTGACCCCTACCACGCCTACTACCAACACAAGGTGCGCGATTTCGCGGAGGGCAAAGCGGTGGAAACGATTGGCCTCAAGGTCACCGCGCCCAGTGCTGCGCGTTTGGGTCAGGACGCGCAGAAGATCATGCAGGACATCTTTGTGCCCAAAGATCCCCCGCCAGAATTTGAGTTTGTCTACGATCCACCCTCCATCAACGCCCTTGACATTGATATTGTCAAACTCACTGCTCAGTTTGTAGCCCGCAACGGGAAACAGTTTTTAGCTCAGCTGATGAATCGCGAGCAACGTAACTACCAGTTTGACTTTCTGCGCACGCAGCACCCCATGTTTGGATATTTCACCAAACTGGTGGAACAGTTCACCAAGGTGCTGATACCCCCGCGCGATATAATCACCAGCCTCGAGGAGGACTTGAAGAACCCCAAGCGGGTGCTGGACCAGGTGAAGTAC